AGAGAAAGAGAGAGATAGAGGAGAGAGAGAGAGAGAATTCTATAATCTCAGATGCACAACAAAAACACAATAAACACGAAAGACTAGGGAAACATTAGCCAGGTGTGGTGGTACACGCCTTTAATCCCAGCACTCCACTGCAGAGGCAGGCAGACCTCTGTAAATTCAAGGTCTACCTGGTCTACATAGACTTCCAGGCCAGCTGGATCTACAAGGAGACCCTGTCTCAAAAATACAAAAAATAAAAATAAAAAACATGACATTAATCTAGAGTAAGGCCCTGCAATGAAAGTGAGTTAGATGAAATCCCAGACAAATAACTCAAAAAAAATGACTAATATGCTTAAAGAAACCAAAGAGGACACAAATCAATAGCTGAATGAATTCAAATGAATAAAACCAAATGAAATAAGGAAGTCAATGCAGGATATGACAGTGCATACAATAGAGATGGAAAATGGCCAGGCGTGGTGGTGCACGTCTGTAGTCCCAGCACTTGGGAGGCAGAGGCAGGCAGATCTCTATGAGTTCAAGGCCAGCTTGGTCTACATAGTGAGTTCCAGGAAAGCTGGGGCTACAGGGAGACCCTGCTTCAAAAAGACAAAAAAAATAGAGATGGAAAACTTTTAATCCTAAATTGTAATACTGGAAATGAAAACTTCAGTAATTCAAATAAAAGGCTCTGTGCAAAACCACACCAACAGAATGGATCAACAGAGTATCAAGACTTGAAGACAAGATAAAGGAATCAGACATTCAGACTATGACAAGGATAAATTAATAAGACAGTATGAACAGACTATTTAAGGATTATAGGTAACTTTGCAAAGGCCAAATATAGGAATCGGGCACAGAAGAAGAATTTCATGCTGAAGACATAGAAAACATTTTGAATAAAAAAAATCATAGGAAATTTCCCAAATCTAGGAAAAAAGATATCCATCCAGATACAGAAGGCATTTAGAACACCAAGCAGACAAGAGGTCAGAAGAGAGTGTCAGATCCCCTGGAACTGGACTTATGGGCAGTTGTTAGCTACCATGTAGGGGCTGGGAATCCTCTGCAAGAACCATCAGTGCTCTTAACTGCTGAGCCATCTCTCCAGTCCATGAATTGTTTTTAATAAAACATTCATAAAAAGCATTCCCCAAAGCTACTGAGCATGGATGACCTCATTCTTGTGAAATGTTTAGACTTTCAAAATTCAATTTCTACCACATATAGTAGGAATGGGGTTTCCCCTAGGAAAGCTACTCAAATGAATGCTCATCAAAGAAAGGCTCCAAATATAATTCATTTATTTATATCTATGGTCATAAAGAATATATGATAACTCTTTTTTTCTTTTTTATCAGCAGGAAAATGACCAGTTTCATTCTGACATAAATACGATGCTGTATTTTGATCATATGCACCCCATTTCCATCACTAATCCTACTTCTGCTGTTCCCCATCCTCTGCATTCATAAAAGGGTGCAATGCAAATTCTTCTAATGAATAAGACTTGCAGTGAGGAGCAAGTTAATAACCATTTGGTTAATAACCAAATGTCCAGGGAAGGCTTCCTCAGTTAAATCCTCCTTCTGCCTGTGTCACCTTGGATGAGTTTAACTTCTCTACATCTTGTGCTTCCTCACCTATAGAATGGAGTTCCAGGTGGAGTTCTTCTCTGGAGAGCCACATTCCTACACTACTTGGTCTAAGCATCCTGCTCAGTGGAGCAGGAAGGAGAGGGGCAAAAGAAACCTGAGCCTCACACTCAACTCCAACTGACTTCTCCTTGTCAAGCCCCTAGAGTTACCAGGAACATTAAGATGACCATGAGGACAAAAGACATGAGGATGCAAGTTTTGTACCTTGTCATCTGTTCTTAAACACTTTTATCAACATGACCCAATATGGGGCTGGAAAGATAACTAGGCAGTTAAGAGCACTGACTGCTTTTCTAGTAGACCTGGGTTCGGTTCCCAGCACATGGTGGCTAACAATTGCCCATAACAATTGCCAATGCCCTCTTCTGGCTTCCGTGGATATTGCACATACAGATGCACTTACATACATGCAGACCAAACACTCATACACATAAAATAAAAAATAAATAAATAAATAAATAAATAAAGCCCATGATCCAATATTACTGATATTAATGTAAATGAATTTCACCTATCAAGTAATAAGGATCAGCTGAGATTCTGCAAAATTGAATAATAAGTGATAATTTGACTCTATCAAGCTTGCTATCACAACCTTGAAAAATATGGTATCTACAGAGCATGAATTTTAGAAATAAATCTGTGCTCCCCCCTTCAACTGAGTGAAAAAAGTTACAGAGAGCTTTAGGTCTACTCCTCAGTTACAAGTGAACTGACAGAGTTTGTTCCCCATGTCTTTGTCTGTTGGTGTGGAGCTCTCCCTACTGCTTTGTGACATCTCTAAGGGCTGCAGGGATGATGAAGCAAGCCCTTAAAAGCAACTTTGGCAGAAGAGGGAGATCACTATCACAAAAGAAACAGCTAAATATGCTTAAAACCACTTCTATCAAGACACCATACAACATCAAAGTGGAAGGAAGACCATTAGCAAAAAGCATGGGGAACAGAGGAAGGATTAGTGGTGGTAATGTGGTGCATATGATACAAATCCAGCATCCTGTGTATGTCAGAATGAAACTCGTTGTTTTCCTGCTAATAAAAAAAAAGAAGAGTTACCATATAGTCTTTATGACTTTATAGACAGAAATAAATGAATTATATTTGGAGCCTTTCTTTGGTGAGCATTCATTTGAATAGCTTTCCTAGGGGCATTGGTATTTCTGTTTCTTTATTTGCATTTGGTTTTTTGAGAAACAGCTTTGTTGTGTTGTCTGGAACTCACATTCTCCTGTTTAGTGGTATGTATAATAATTTGATAATAATATTCATCTTGATCTATTTAATAATGACTTTTAGAAGCTTCTTTAGTGAGCTCACAGTTTCTTATGACCAAAAATACAAATTGAAAATAAAAATAAAGTATATCTATGCCTGCATTAATCTTTCAGGGTGGCCACAACAAAGTAACACAGGCAGGGGGACTAAAACAACAGAAATTATTTTTCTTACAGTTCTGGAAGCTGGATGTCTGAGACCCACGTGACAGCAAGTTTGGCTCTTCTAAGGACTTTCTCTCTAGCTTGTAGATGGTCCTCTGCTCTCTGTGTCTCCACACAGTCTTCATATGTCTGGGCCCTGGTCTCCTCTTAAAGGGACATGTGTCATATGAGTTAGAGCTCACGTGTATGGTCTCATACACTTCAGTTATATCTTTAAAGAGCCTGTCTCCAAAGCCACATTCTGACATATGAGAGGGGTGATGTCAGGGCCTCAATACTCTTGTACACAATCCATCCCTAACTCTATCTATACCCATATTTACATTTACATCTATGTCTATATATCTGCCTATATAAATGTGTCTCTATGCAAATTTGTGTGTCTTATTTAAGCCTGGAATTCATAATGAGGACCCCCCAACCCTGCTGTGTGACAATGCAGGGACATATATTTAAAGTCTGATTTCCCACTTTAATTAGCATGTGACCCATTAGCCACTGTTATCTAATTTCCGGGCTTCAGAAACTGACCGCTCCACTAATGGTGGCGTGAGGGTGCATGTGGCAGATAAGAAGGGCAGAGAAGTTGTCTGATGCAAAATAGGCAAGCAGGGCCAGAAACGAATTGGATTCATTACACTTTGGATTTTGAATTAATTTTTGGTTGTTGCATGCACAGAAACCTTTTTCTGTTGCCAAATTTTCCATGACCCCCATATTTTCTGACCTGATACCATATGGATTTGTGACCCACGATGTAAGAAGCTGCTATCAAATGGAGCATGTGCCAGAGTTAAAATCTATTCCAGGCATGGATTTTAGCATTACATAATCAACACATAATATTTAAACCACACTATAGTGTAATGGAAAAGAGTGTGGATGAGTCTAGGAGATTTCTATCTTGGTGGCACAGGACCACCTAGAGTTCCTGGTGAGATGGCTCGGTAAGTAAGGGTGCTTATTGCCAGCTGATAACCTGAGGTTCATCCTCCAGAAACACATGGTGGAAGGAAAGAGCCAACTCCAGCAGGCTGTATGTATTCTGACCTCCACATTCACACTATGCACAGCACACACACAAAATAAACAAGATAAACAGATGCATGTTCTTTGTTGTCAGTAACCTCTATTGGGAATCACATTATAAAGCTGATTTTGCAAAAGTCATAATTTTATTGTGAGTAAATCCACAGTTTGTTTCTCACATGTTTCAAATTACCAACCATCTTGTGCTTTCTTTGGTCCAAGCACATTTATCGGGCAGTTGCTCTGCATGTGACTCATAGCCAGACAAGATTCCTATTGCATGTGGGTTCAGGCTGGACTCACAGGACCCCATCCAGCTAGTACATGTGGCTCTTGCCACCTTCTTGGGCCTTCTGGGTGGTGATGCTGCCTTGCTGTTCCCCCAGTGCAGCCAGCCTCCCTCCTGTGTGTTGAGGGCTCAGTCCTCCATGCAGCACCCCAAAGTCCCTACTCGGCTATTCAAAATAGATTTGCAGTAAGTTCACAGCCTTGACTCCAAACAATCTGCACTGTGGCTCTTCAGGAAACTCTAAACTTATCTGCTAAGGAAATAAGCACTCGGGAGGCAGAGGCAGGCAGATCTCTGTGAGTTCAAGGCCGACCTGGTCTATATAGTGAGTTCCAGGACAGCTGGGGCTACGGGGAGCCCCTGTCTCAAAAAAGATCAAATAAATAATAAATAAATAAATAAATAAATAAATAAATAAACAAACAAAGAACGTGCAGAGGGGAAATGAACCTTGGCAAGACTAATAACAGGGATTCCAAGTTGTGTTCTACAAGCCAGTCAAGAGTATTCACGTGCTAATCACTGGCACGTTGCACTGAGAAGTACCCCCACTCAGCCTTCCCCAGTTCCAATTGTTGTGCTGCAGCAAGATTCGGTGGCATCTAGACAGAGCCCTGCATGGAGCAGCCCTCTCGGTTCTGTTCCAGCAAGTGGTGAAAGTGAGCCCTGTCTTCCCACTGCACACAAAGGCAAGGAGCGCCTTAAAGGGACCTGCCAGCTTCTGCACGCAACTGCAAACCCCAGTCAGTGCCGGCTCAGCAGCCCCAGCTTTCGCCTAAGGATGAGTGGGGAGGGGTCTCGAGACACCTCGGCATCCTGAGAAGCCGGGAGAGAGGGAGCTGACAGGTGGAGTGGGTGCAGACCATCCGTCCTGGGGGACCCGCTTGCAGCTAGCTGCGTCTTGGGATGCTCCGCGCCAGTTGAGCCTCCTGCCTGTGGTCCAGAGGGTGCTGGAGGCGCATCTTGCGGTATGCCTGCGCTGGTTTGAGCCAGCGCCCAGAAGCCAGCCCGCCGCATTCAGGCACCGCGGACTGGCTCCCGGCAGGGCTGTGTGCAGCCACCATGAACGCTCAGCTCTAGGCTTCTGCACCAGCCTCCTGACCACATGGATCTGGCTGTTTAATCAGCGGAGATCACAGCAGGGCTGATCTGCGCTCCAGCTGCTTCTGACAACTTCGGGCTTGGCTGTTTACTTCTGTGGGTCTCCGGGACTCCGCAGCCTCTATGCCACTTTGCCCACTCTGAAGTCAGCCGCCAGGACCCCTCTGAAGCGTCCCCAGAAAGGGGAAGCAAGGAGGGGTTAAAAGACAGCAGAACCCCCAGCTGCCTGACCTCTGCTGACCGCCTGTGCCGTGGGGTTCTGAGAGGGGCCGTGCGCTGCCCGGGGAAGCAATGCAAGTCTCCATAGCCTGCACAGAGCACAATTTGAAGAGTCGGAATGGCGAGGACCGACTTCTGAGCAAGCAGAGCTCCACCGCCCCCAATGTGGTGAACGCAGCCCGGGCCAAATTCCGCACGGTCGCTATCATCGCTCGCAGCCTGGGGACCTTCATCCCCCAGCATCACATTTCCCTCAAGGAGTCCACCGCCAAGCAGACGGGCATGAAATACAGGTATGGTGCGAGATTCCCCCGCTCGGGTTTCCGTGCTCTTCACAGGTGCACCGGAGGCTGTTCGGTTTGGCAGTGACTTACTCATCGGTGGCTTGCTTAATTTAGAGTTCTCAGGTGTTTACTTCTAAAATAGCCCTTCAGGAGGGGGTGAAAAACCTCAAGCTGGTGTGTATCCGTGTGTGCGATTTTAAAATGTGGCCCATTTTGTATATTCTGTGTTATGAACGCCCTGGGACCTGTACAAATTTCAGCCTGCAGAAAAATCCCCAACTGCTGGAAACTGTCTCTTCCATCAGGACAGTTTGCCAGGAGCAGATGTGTTTGTCCTGTCTCACGCACAGACTGTAATTTTTGCGATTGTCCTATCAGAAGCAGTTTCCTATCTGTTACTACATTCTTATCTTTTGAAAGACCAAGATACTAAATGCTAAGCAAAACTTTTAGGGAAGTTTTGTGGCATGAAAAAACACCTACAGTAGTAAATTAAACTGAACACTGTTGTATTTAAATGTGAATTACTGCTTGAAATGAATAAAGTATGGGTGTTGTGAAATATGGAGTCGGTTTTCAATGTTAATTGTCCTCATAAATGTTTTATCCTCGTGTCCTGTATTATAATATAGGAAGTCATCATTTCCAGTAACAGAAATCTTCCTGTAGTAAAAGAAAATCTACTATTCAGTTATGTACCTGCCACCTCATGACATGTCCTTTCCAGACTCTTCTGTGATGCTGCTGTGCTTCTAGTTTCTCAGTGTATGAAATGCAGAGAAGTTCCTGCCACTTCCTCCAAAGTCTTTGGTTTCTCATTCATAGACATGGCTTTGTTATTTACATGTATCTCAAAATGAAATAGAGAGAATTGGGCAGGGGGGGCGGGGAGCCTTCCTAAAATGTAGTCACTAAGTCACTTTCATAGAGTTTCTGCAAGGCAGAACTCTGCAAGGCACCAGGCAGATTTGAATCCACTGGGCAGTGAGAAAATGGTTGGTGGGAGCCACCTGGAAGTTGTCAAGCAAATGTTCCAGTTCCTTAGTTCTGTGTGTGTGGATGGGTGTGTGACTTGTTCATCCATTTTCAGGGCTGCTCTATTAATAATAGCTAGGAGATGGAAACAGCCTAAACGCCCAGCAACTGAATGGATAGTGGAAATGTGATACATAGATGCACACAGTGGAATTTTATTCAGCTGTAAAGAAAAAGAAAATTATAAAATTTGCAGCTAAATGGATGGAAGTGAGAAAATTGACATTGAGTGATGTAACTCGGGCCCAGAAATATACATGCCAAATGTTCTCTCTCATTTGTGGATCCTAGTATCAAATCTTTAGGTTTGTGTCTTTAACCTGGAAATCCTATGGAAGTCAAGAAACTAGAGAAAGGACTGTTGAGGGGTGGGCATAGAGAGAAAGGTCTTAGGAGAAAGGGGACAGTAGAACACAGGTGATATGAAGGGGAAAAGGGAAGGATGGGGAAGGATCTGAATGGGAGGATGAGAAAGCAGAGGTGCCCCACTGCTGACACTTCATGCATGTGGGTTACAGTCAGGTGGTTTGTAAGGGTGACCTGTACTCTTCCTGCAGTTGGGGCAGCAGAACATTCTCTTCAGCCCATTCTGGGAGGGAGATGGGAGAATACAATGGAGGGGGGAGTGGGGCAGGCTAATTTACACTAATGATGCTTGAAAAGGCTATATATATATATATGGAAACTTACTGTTTCATAAGCTTCTTATTTTCTAGGTTTCATGCTGCTGGAAGGTACTGTGAAGGTTGTTTGGGGAGAGGAGTCATTGACAGTCTTACCCAGCTGCGAACCCTGAGAGCTACAATAGCCTGGCAAGGTATGTTATTGTAATAGGTAACCAACTGATTCTTGATTGAATTTAAGTCCCAATCCCAAGGAGGGAAGTCATGCCTTGTACTGTAAAACTTTCCAAGGCTAAGGAGGCCTTTGGCCCTAGTGAAGAACATATTACAGTATTTTGGACATAATAAATGGACATAATATCCAACTGCCCTCTAAGTAATTAACTTTGTGCACATAGATTCGTACAGCTCTCAGCCCTCAGCAGAGAAGCTTCTTTTTGCAGTGGGCAACAGTTGATACAGAAACTCACAACTGGCCAAAGTGAAGAGAATAAGTATTTGGGAATTCTCATCAGTAAATGGGACATCGGCATCAACCCCTTGCCCCACAAGGCTCAAGGAACATCATGGAAGAAGAGATAGAAAGATTGTAAGAACCAGAGATCAGGGAAGACTGCTATAAACAGCATCTTCTGGATGTGCCATGGTAAGTACACTCGAACTCACAACATCTGTGATTGCCACCTCAAGACCTCCACAAGATCAATCCAGTCAGCATTACAGCATGGAGAGGGGAGGGGTTCATGGGTCCCTACCAATGACTGAGGAGCTATTGGCAGTTGATGGCTGCTGGGGAGGGAGAATCATTCTTCCTCAGTGGTATGAGTCCCAGGAGGTTGCCAATACATCACTGGATAGCTCTATACTCATGTGTATGGGAAGCACAAATTGGACTCAGTAAGTCATCCTTCTGAAAAAGAGGATATAAGGGACTGGAGAGATGGCTCAGTGTTTAAGAGCACTGACTGCTCTTGCAGAGGACCCGAGTTTGAGTCTCAGCACCTACATGGCAGCTAGCAACTCTCCTTAACTCCAGTTCCAGGGGCTCTGACACCCTCTTCTGACCTCCATGGGCACTGCATGACACAGGTGCACTTACATGCAGGCAATGCACTCATACACATAAATTGAAAATAATAAAATATTTTTAAAAAGAGGGATGTAAGTTGAGAGGGGCTGGGAGGTATTCAGAAGGAATTGGAGGTAGGGAGAGTAGGTGGATATAATCAAAATACATTATGTACATTTATGAAATTCTTAGAGAATAAAAATACTATATTAAAAAATGAATTTCAAAGCTGGGCCTACGAAATGGCTCAGTGCATAAGGGCACTTGCCATCAGTCCTGATGACCTGATTTAGAGCCCCAGAATCCACATGGTGCAAGGGGAGAACTGACTCTCTCAAGTTGTCTTCTGATCTCCCATCATTCTCTCCCCTTAAACCCCCTCCCCACTCTCACCTTCCCCCCTTCATATCACCCATGACTCTCAGACTGCATCAGAGAAATTGCTTTGTGCCGTGGACAGCAGTTAATACAGAAACTCACAACTGGTCAAAGTGCAGATAATAAGTGTCTGTGGAGTGCTTAGTCATAAATGTGACAGCTCTATCACACCCCTTCCCCCAGGGCTCAGGGACCATCACAGAAGAGGGGGCAGAATGAAGGTAAAAGTCAGAGATCAGAGAGAACCAGGGTGAAACAGTCTTCTGTCTTCTGGACATGACAGGAAACTACACAGACACACACACACACACACACACACACACACAGTGATGAACTCTCAGCAGCTATGGTTGTGTGTACAGGACCTAGAAATGAAGCCAGTAAACATTCCAGCATGAAAGGGTGAGGGGCAAACAAGCCCCCATCACTGTCTGAGCAGATACTGACAATTAACAGTTGCTGGGGGAGGTATAGTTTTCTTCAGGGGCACAGCCCTGGCAGGTCAACCATGTTCCAATGAATGTCCCACACCTATGTGCATATGGGCAGCAGTAATTGAACTCAATGGCTTGTAAAAGGAAAAATAAAAAAGGAAAAGAACATGAAGTTGGGAGGGGTGGGGGATGGATCTTCAAGGAGTTGAGGGGAGGAGCTAGAGTGAATAGTATCAACATACATTGTATGCATGCACAAACATCTTAAAGAATAAAATACTAATAAAAGATTGAGGGGTGAGAAAACATGGCCGCACACACAGGTAAGCAGAAAACCTCGACCTACTGCAGATACCTGGGGAGACAGACCTTCTTTTCCATTTCAGTCCTCACACCTGCTTAGATGGCCTGACTGTTCTACTGCAGAATCACCCAAATGTCCAAACATTTCTCCATTACACAAAAGCCCTTCTTGCAATGGACTCAGCTCTTCAAAACTGCATTGGAAACTTCTGGGCCAGTTCTCCATTGAAAGGAAAATGAGTTACCTGTAATTCCCTGCCTTGTGAGAGATCCAGCACTTGAAAACCATCACCATGGCTCAGCTTCATAGTTTTCAGAATGGTTCTAGTACTCTCCATTCCTCCTAGATTTTGTTTTATGATTTCCAACTGTGATTGTATCTCTCATTTAAACTCTATATGGTAACTGCTTCTTTAAGTTAACCATATTTTGCTTTCTGATGCACTCTTTTTTGATTTATTTATTTTTATTTCCCCTAGAACTGGAATTATAGATGGTTGTAAGCCACTGTGTGGTGTTGGAAACTGAACCCCTGTCCTCTGCAAGAGGAGCAATTGCTCCAGGTGATATACTCTCATAGAAAACATTTATTGCCCTAACAGATCTAAATATAAAAGAAACTGTATATGACTAGTGTTGTCAGCAAGAAAAGCTTTCTGTATTGGTAATTAACATCTCCTAGGAGCATGCCCAGAAGGGGCTCATCTGAAGGAAGTTGTGCTCTGTGTGATGAGCTAGCATCTTCTGGAAGGTCCATCTGGTTTCAGGGAGCTCTCACATAAGAAAAGGACCTGAGGAACACATGCTAATAAGTACCCAATTCTCTGTTTCTTTGAAATTAGTTTCCACTTTAGATTTTCAAGTTAAAGGATTTTGTTTTCATATCTGTGATCTGAGATTACATCAAGCTCATTATAAAAATTAACTGCATAAGTAAGGTGGCTTTAATAAACACTACTCTCTTATCTCAAGAACAGTACAGCGTTCATCTGGGGCATCTAATGAAACTAGACCTTCAGACCCACTACTCCAACTCCTACCTCTACATGCACAAACATTCCGGAATCTGTATTTACCTTCAAAATGGCAAATTCTCAGGATAATCTCAGTAGTCTTGTTCCAGAAAGTTTTGTCTCAATGTAAGTCATATTTGTTCAATTTTAAAGAGGAGAAAATAAACTATTATTAGAGGTTGAAATACAAAGGAGTTGGGAAACGCACGGTCTACCGTGTAGCATCTCACTCGATACAGTCAATAATTACATAATGCACTTCAATTTCACAGAAATACAATTTCTCAAAGGCAACTCCCTGGAAATCAGACTTGGCACTTCGTAAACACTCAGGATAATTTCTTAGTCAGAGAAGGAGGTTTGATTTTGTACCAGGTGTTTCCTGAAGGTTTCAGGAAGACTTTCTCTGGTCTGTTTCAGAACAAGAAATGGATTAAAAGGGAACATAAAGGCCACTAAGACACAAAGCTAGAAACTTCATATGCATTACTTTCTAATCACTGTAAAACAATAAAACTAGTGTCTTAAAACAACATATATTTGTTCTTTCATGTAGAAATCACAAGTGTGAAACCCAAGTGCCCACAAAGCTACTTTCCTTCTGCAGCCTTCAGGGTAGAAACTATATTCTTGCCAATCCCACTTTCTAGTGGTCACTGCATTCCTTAGCCCAGCTCTGCTATGAGGAAATAGATTGTTGCAGTCCAGAGACTGCAGACTGACCATTCACCCCTCTTCTTGAGAGTGTATGAATAATTCTCTCAAGGAGTGAATTAGCAGCTCCATGCCCCATTCTTCACACAGCCCTTGGCTCCCATGTCAGAAATGATTGTAAGCCAAGTCCAGGCAGAACTCACCCTGAAGCCTCTGTTCATCTTGTGACCATTTCTTTCCCCGCCTTTTGTCTCCTTAGTCACTTACCCTACCCAGTACCTCAACCTGGATCTTTTTGATCCACCTTTCTGTTTCTTAGGAAATACTGCAAATGCTCTGTCTCCATAGCACCAGTGACACACCTTAGCTCAAATTTATACTCTTAAGTGAAAGACAGTGGCAAAGTGTAAGCATATAGTGATCAATAGTATACACAGTGTGAGAAAGGTATGTGTCTTATTAATTTGCTGACCTATTTTGGGGATTCACTATTAGGATACACTCTGAGGGGTGGGGGAAGCTAAGTGTTCAGATAACATGGCCTCCCTCTTCTTTTTATTGGCTTCTGTGACAAGCTGAATAATGACTCCCAAAGATATGTAAGTCCTGACCTAATCCCAGTGTTGTGAATGTGTGACTCAAAGGGCTTTGCAGCTAGGGTTAAATTGAAGATCTTGAGCTCAGACATCCTGGATTACTTAACTTGGTGTCATCACAAACATCCTTATGAGTGAGGTGGAGGGAGATTTTGAAAACCATGCACTGACAGCAGTGAGATGGGAGGAAAAGGCTGAGTGCGATGGAATGCAGCCAGAGAAAAATGAATAGTCCAGAAAGTGGTTCTCTCTCAAGGCCTCCATGAGGACCGGCCCTATCTGTATCTTGACTGCAGTCTAAGAGGATTGGCTGGAAGATTCTGGCTTCCACAACTGGTACAAAGTGCGCTCATGTTGTTTTAAGCCACCAAATCAATGATAATTTGTTGCACAATAAAAAGAGCCTAACACAGCTGCCTTATCACTGTGATAGGGCAGTAAGTTACAAACCAGAAAGCAGAGAGAATGTTTGTATTTGAGTGACCAGAGCACAACTGCATTTGTGATTGAGCCCTGCCCCATGTAAAGGATCATGGTTTCAATCCAAAGTCCTCTTCCCCCATGTAGCCTTCTTTCTTATCTAGTTAGTAGCACCCCCTCACTCAGCTCTGTGTGCATCGCTGACCCGCCAGGTGTACAACTAGTTACTTGGTATCTAACTGTTTCATGCGCTGACTCAGCTACTGGAAGCTAGGGATCCATCTTTTACTCTCTCTTGACCAGCATTTACTGAGTACCTGCCTCATACTAGAAACTTGAGG